CATCAAAATTAGCACAGAAACAGTACTATATAACATTTTAGACACATTCTAGACAGTTTATCAGCTAAAAAAAGTTAATTTGGGGGTAAGTTACTCTTTAAATTGAGCAGCACAGTGGTTCAGTGGTAAGCACTGTTGCCTCACAGCTGGAAAGTCCTGGGTTCAAGTCCCACACTGGTTTTTCTGTGCATGTGTCAGTTTTCTCAAGTTTCTTCTTACTTTAGCAGTGACCTACTGCTGTCGACCCTGTTTGCCTGTTAGCAAAATATTTTAAAAACCATTGCACAAATCTTAATRTAACTCTCCGAAAGTATACATTGGCTGTAAAACTCATTAACGGCGGTAGGCAATTTTTTGTAGCCTATAGCAGATTATCTGTTTTATAGCGGACCAAATTTTCTTGCTAATTTTTTAATGTTTAGTAGTTCAGCGTTAGCAAAGCTCTATTTTTAGTTAGCGAATTACAAGTTAGCAACTTTTTGGTTAGCTGTGACCATCATAGGGTCAACTCAGTTTTAGAGGACAATATTTTTTGCTGATATTTGTTTGTTTTCCTTGCATCGACATCGGCTAATRCATGCATGTGTTCACCATTACATTACCACATTCACTAACCATACCTTGAGATCATGTGGCCACATGCATTGCCGCTCCCTACCTGGCAGACTAATGTTGTAAGACGTGCCAACAACAACAAGGGTAAGTTTTCAACTTTTAACATATTTTTAACTGTCTAATTTCGCTGAATATGCGCTTTGAAAGTCTGTCTCTGTCTCACTGTGAGTAAACGGAGGAAGAAAAAGCAATCTCGACTTTAAAAAACGGACCAAAAACATCGGCAGCACATTTTGGAGATCCAAAATTTTTATCTGTTCATCCCCTACTTTCATGATGGATGCCACAGCCACTTGACCTTAGCAACCACAACTCAGACAATGAGCTGATTTTGGTGTGTTGGCAGCCAAGAGTCATCCTTAAATTCTCTAAACCCAAACACACCCTGCAGGATCTCACCTGTGGTGAACACACAYGTCCCAAAATCTTGCTTTTCTAATTTATAATCTGTTAACTAAAAATATAACTTTGCTAACTGAATAACTGAAAACAATCTAATATGTCATTTTTACAAAGTTAGAATATTTTTATTCTGTATGTATAACTCATTCTGTCAAGGCTCACTATCTTCATGAGCTCGCTCTGCCTTCAGGATTTAATGTCTAAAAGCAGAAATCATTTATAAAATAACAGATTGCCATGAAATTGGATGAACATCCCAAAGGAGTAAACTCTTGTTTTATTGACCCTCCAACTTTCCCTCTAACAGCAATTAAGGACAAATGAAACATTTTTTAGCAACACTGCTGATAAAAATGCACGACCATAACCTAAATGTATTTCAACACCCCTGGCATTTCACATTACTGGATGTGGTTACTTTGCAGTATTTAAGCATTTGAAGCTGTAACATTTCAATTAAATGAAATTTTTATACCTTTTGAATGTGTGGGGAAAAAAAATCAACGAGAACTCGAGCAAACCTGAATGAATTAAAATTAAACCAATGAGCAAAAACATCTAATCCTTCCTCTCAGCAGCTTCATGTTTGGATCCCACCTCTGAAATACACACTTATTCAGCTCCCTGCTCTGAATTATGTATYGATCCAGACTGCATGAAGACAGAGTTTTTGATACAGGGGAGACATAAATCAGTGCGATGTATTATTGATGTTTACGTTAAGACGATCACAACCACAATGTTCTTCTCACATCATGTTGTGCATCCATTACACACACACACACACCTACACACACAAAAGGTGCGTCATCATCATAAACACTTTCAGAGGAACAAGGCTGAGTCGACGTTAAGGCACAGGGGAGCAGGTGTTTGCGTCGCAGACAAAAAACGATGCTCAAGATGAGCTGAAAGGGACAAGCTACACATTATTTTTAATTATTATTATTATTCTACAACCATCCATCTTCCTCTTTTCCTTCTACAGTCATCTTTGAACCCAGCCTTTTTCCTCGTTTCTCTCTTTCTCTAGTTTAGCACCGGACTTCTCAGCTCACCATCATGCCTCAGCTTGTCCTCTGCTTTACTATTTTCACATTTTCAATTTCTTTCCGCGGCTCAATCTCCTCTCCAGTATCTTATTAATCTCAACCTGTGTGGTCTTCGCAGAAAACCCAAGACTTTAGTGACACAGTGTCTTCTGGCATCTTTAATAAAAAGTCAAATTCAGGTGAACACATGCAAACATTAGCCTGGAAATTTTATTTTTTTTATTTTTTCTACAATGCACTGATGTGAGTATTTTGTCCAGGACACATCAGCTCATTGAGTAATTTACAATCCCGCTTGATTTATTCAAATGAAAACTTAAGATTTTTTTTTATTTTAGAAATGGAGCTCTTTGAAAATTTTATGAACAATCAACATCTCACCTGCTGTAGATGGCTTTTGAACAACCGCAGTTTGGGGAAACGTGTTTGATTTTTTTCTGGACTGATGAGTTAAGAGGCTAACTGAGCAGAGCAAAGAAACAAAGTAAATCACTGCCATCATAAAACAGTTATAATCACAAAAAACATTTACAGCAGGTCATGCGAACGTTATTATATAAACCAGGGATCTTTAACATTTTTCAGTCTGGGACCCCCAAACTGATGGAGAGACTGAACAAGGACCCTTATATGTGTATACTGACATTAGTTGTTGACTGATCATTACTGCGGTGTTGTAGAAATATTGCAAAAATTGAGAAGTGGGTCTCTGCAGTCACTAAGTGGGAGGTTCTTGGTGTGTGGGTGGAGTTTGGAAATGACATGATTGGTTGGATTGACTATTCTGGGTGAGGTTTGAAGAAGCTGTAACAATTCCATTGGATGAATGCTGGGCAGCTGGGAGGCGCCTCTATTTTGTAAATATTAATATTAGTCATAACGAGACTGGGAGGTGCAAGCTACATTAAATTTGAAGTCAATAAATTATATTAACATTTACACAATAATTTTACTATTATCATTACTTCATTTTATAACTTTTTCCACAAGTGAAGTCAACAAATCAGTTTTTCCAAACTCCGCCCACACAGCCAAGAAACTCCCCCTAACACACTGCAGAAACCCCTACTTTCAAAAATTACAGCGCTAGTACACTCAGCCATGTTGGATTCATGGTAATGTGTTTAAAGACATAAGTTTGAAAAAAAAAGTATAAAAAGGAAAAAATTCAAAACATTTCATGATTCCCCTGCAGTACCTCTGCAACCCCATTAGGGGTCGTGACCCCACCATTGAAGACCTCCGATATAAACCTTTACACCACTATTAATTTGGTTTTAAATGATAATTTAAACGGGATTCTTTGGTTATCTGCAGATGCAGTTGTTCCAGTTCAGCCTGGGCACTTCCTGCAGGAGTATCATAACATTTTATCCAGAATAACTTTGTAAAAAAAAAGCTGACAGCAATGTAAAAGTTTAAAAAAGTTTTATTTGTAAGAGCTGCCATGAAATGTTTTAGATTGGTTTGAAGATGGCAGTAATCCACTTCGTCCAAACTGAGACCATTCAAAACGTTATCTACAACAGGTAAGATATTTCTTATTTATACAGTTTAAAAACAGCTCTAAAGACGAATTATTTCTTTAAAATGAAAAGAAAAAGCTTTCTCCGAGAGCAGCCAGCTCTAAATCACAGTAAAGATTGCCAACAATCTCCTCGCCTCCTTTGACAATCGATGAAAACGTTTTTACAGCAAAATTTTTATTTCTAATGAATCCACACGAAGCACAATGCCTGCACATCAAACACGTATGACAATCTTCAAAATGATTTGAGTCTCGGCAGGAACCTGCACCGTCCTCTTAACGTGTTTTCAACACACAGTTGTGATTTTATTTATTTATTTTTTTTTGTGTGTGTGCATGCTCCGGTGAGTACCTGAAGGTCAGAGCGATGAAGGAGGGGCGAGCGGAGGAGGAGGAGGTGAATATCATCTGTTAATCCACTCGATGCGGAGGCAGAAGGCTTTCGGATGAAGTGGCCCACACATCCATTTAGCAGCCTTAAAGCTCCGTTTGGGCTCTGAAGAGCTTTTAAACTCATATTGACCTGAAAGTCCTGACTTTACCAACTCTGTGCCGATGAGCAATACCAGTAATATACAATACTTCTTTAAAAAAAGGCTCACAAATTGTGCTATACTGTTTGGATTTCAGAGTCTGAAATGTAATACTGATAAAATGGAATCCAGCTTTAATAACAAAAAAGAAAAATCTGAGTTTTCACTTGGAAAATATAAATAAATCCATCGTGTTTGTGTTTATCTCTCCAACATCCTTTACTCCAAGCCTTCACCTTGCTGGTTGCTGTTTGCTTCCACTCACCGGTGTTCACCTGGCGGTCACGGTTTGCAAAAATAAAATAAAAAACACGCCATGCTTGAGTTACCGCACGTACGCACAGCCTCATTTCCATTTTAATCTCCTGACGTGTCGTCGTCATCGTCTCCCCCCTCCTCCCTCAGCAGCTGAGGATTTTGATGAAGGCCCGTCTGAACTCGATGTTGAAGGTGGTGTAGATGACGGGGTTGAGGGCACTGTTGACATAGCCCAGCCAGGTGAAAGCGCTGTAAAGTTCAGGAGGCACGTAGCATGTCCTGCAGTGGGTGTTCAGAATGTGAGTCACAAAAAAAGGCAGCCAGCAGATGAGAAACACCCCTGAAGCAGGAAGACAGCAGAGAGGTGGGGAGGAAGGGCAGTGTGGAYGGAGGGGGAACAGAGGGGTGGGTATGGAAGAAATGAAGAGAGCAGGTGGTAAAAAACATGAATGTGAGACAGAAACAGGTTTGTTGTGTTRGTTTAAGGGAAGAGAAAAAAAGTGAAGATGGAATAAATGCGGAGAAAAGAGACAGATAATTATGGTCTTAATTCATGTTTGCAGCTTCATATTTGCCAAAATGCAACTTTAAGTTACAACCATTTAAATCTTTATAATGTAAAAGTACTCCTAAACAAAACAGTGACTTTTTAAAAACCATTAAAAAAAAATCGAAAGTGCAAAAAGAACACTTGTTCAAATACAGCTTTTACTTTTTAACATGAATGCCTAATTGACACTTATTTGTTTCTGTTTTTTTAAAAGGCTCTCCAACTAGTTGTAACATTACACAACATTATTTATTAAACATTTACTTCAACTATAAAACAAGGCTAAAAATACTGTAGACTATACTCAGACATGAGGAAAAATACAGTATATTGATCCAGCCAGCACCTAAAAATTATGATGATGACAACAGAGCTTCTTTAAGCTTTTTAGCTTTTGCGTTAGGTCCTGAGCTATATGAGGATATGACATTAGCTCCTGTGCTAATAATATTAGCTCAAGAGCTAGCACCACATATTTATGAGTAATACATATGGTTTTAGCTCAGGAACTAACACTAATAATACTGGCTTGAGAGCTAACACCACATATTTTAGTCCCTGAGATAATATCGTTAGCTCAGGATCTAGTGCCACATATATGCTGTGTGTGTGTGTGTGTGTGTGTGTGTGTGTGTGTGTGTGTGTG